AAATACGTACCTATTTCCAGATTTAAGCCATCGATCTATCGTCCCTCTCTCCACAGACTGTGAGAGGGTAAAATCCAGGGGACAGCTTTCAAGGAGGAGACATAGGCGCGGGTGGTGGTCGACGGGGAATGCGGGGGTGCTCCAACTTTCTCGATGACTTATGAGCGTCCGCATCATCCCAGACAATAGCTCGAGTAATCCATCTCAGAGATTCGGCCTCCTGCCCATCTGGCGTACCTCATGCAGAGCGAACGTACTTACGTACCTTATGACAAACGAGCCAGATCGGCTAAGTATCAGCCGCGCCAGACACGTAAGGTTCCCTCGCCGGTCGCCAACGAATGTCACATATCTCAAGCGGCACGCCATTCAATTAGAATAGGAATTTTTTATGTCAAGTTCCGATCGCTTTCGAAAGTATTTCATAATCACCCCCGGCAAGGAATCGGCTTAAGTGTTTTCTATGAGGTCTTAGCACGTAACAGCTATTCACTGTGTCTCGGACTTGCTAAGAGGTACTTTTTCCAGGACCTCCTCTGGAGAAGCTTTCAGATAGACAGATATTTCTAATAATCAGAGGTGTTTAATCTCCACACTATGTTTGTAACTTTTAAAAGCTAACACATAAGAAAGATTTATCGAAGATGATTCTTTAAAATGACCGGGTTGAACCAAAAGCAGCCAGAATGCATATCATGTTACCTTAATTCCCTCAGATTTTTAATTGTTGAGCAGAAAAGTGTACAAAATACCGTCTTGAAAATTTTCGTTGATCTTTTTCAGAGTATGGAGGATGTAGATTGCCAAAGTGCGAAAGTATATCCAACGCGGTGTTTCCGATTCTATTTTATTTTTATTTTTTTTGAGGATAAACAAGCCAACTTTATATAGCTTGACATTTTTACAGATTCTTCTGCCAGTGAATAAGAAGAAAATTCAAAGAAGTTTTCGATAAATTACGTCGATTAGTTTTTCCAGGAAATCATGAAGTATGACAGGAAGTCTGCAACGTCACAAACGGAGATACGTGGTTTTCTACTTTGGTCATCGATATACTCCTAAAATATTATGTCTTAATGTTGTTTGGCTTCCTGCTAAAAAGATAAAACGTAAAAATAAGTTAGATACTGTTGATTCAGGTACAGCTCGTCCAAATCTTTGTTTACTTCCAGAATCATCAATTTTTCATTCAAGGTAGTCAATAATGGACACTCAATTTGCAATATGCTCGTAAAAGAAATTACTATTTTTAATAATGTTACAAGTATAAGCTTGGAGGCCCTTAAGACGCGCTTCTGCATTTATGTTTACAAATGGTATAGAGAGCAAAATTCCTAATCTCTCAATAAAGGTTTTGTTTTAACATTTTAGCATGATTTGAAGATCATGCCAGAGAATGCTCTCCTTATTAAAATGAAGATAATAAAATAAAAGCCCGGTTTCCTTCGCTGAGTGGAACATTAAATCACTATAGGTCAATGACTATTCGGTCGGCAAACTTCAGTCCGAATCTTTGAAATCCTTTCTCCGTAGCTTCTGGCTCGACATAAATCCGCTTTTTATTCGCTATGGATAAGCGGTAATTGGATCGGACGTAAACATGCGTTTAGAACGTTGCGAACAAATTATGAGAAAGCTGAGAACATGAACTTCTGGCTCAAGGACGTGAACTTGCAAATCGGAGAATGGCATGTCCATCTGCATTCCTTCACGCGTGATCAGCTGCTGACCAATGACCAGTCTTACGGTGATGCCACGTAGAGATCTCGATTTTACACAAATTATTACTATCCTGGAACATCTTTCAAAGCGTGGTAGATTGTTAGGGAGGTATCAACTTGGCTCTTATCCCCAGAGGAGTAAAGAAGAACAGGAGAGGAAATTAGAAATGGCATAATGGACTCTGAAATATAGGCTTATAACTTTTTTTTTCTATTTTTCAATTTTCTAATAACAGGGAGTAAGAATTTTTGCTTCTACGTGTAACAATTCTTCACCTTCTCATGTTTATGCCGATCACGTGCTTCCAGAATATATTGGGAGTTTTGTATCATACCAGCTGTACCTGCTTACCTGCCGTAAGCGAAATTAAAGCCTTAACTTATGACTAGAAACAGTAACACAGTCAGGAACAATATGTCTGAAAGTTTGAGCTCGAATTGTTTCTTCGGTACAGTGTACACCCCGATTTGGGTCAAAGAAACAGGGACTTTTCAGTTATTGATGTTTCTTAATACTTTTTTTAAAGCTCCTGAAAACATTGGGTCGAAATGTCGAGCCATTACTTGCGTTTCATATGAAATTATGAGCTTTTGAACTAAATTGTATTGCAGGGCGCAACAGTTCTAACAAACAAAAACAGCATTTTCCCTCGGTGTAACCGCCATTTTTCGTTCTTGAGCTTTTAATTGCTGCCCACAGGTCAATATTTAGAATTTGGGGTGTTTTTTGCGCCAGGTGATGCAGAATTAGCCTCCGAGATGTGGTATTCTTATTTTAACGGCCCATTTTTACGTTTTTCCGACTCCATTGATCCTATCGAGGCATCTTTTTTCGCAGTATAGAAAAATTTAATTAATATCATTATTTGAATTTTACTCCTGTTTACCTGTTTGCCTCATCAAGAACTCCTCGTAAAAATTTTAAGTATCTTTCTAAAAAAATTCTCACCGACGAAAAATTTCAGAGGAGAATGTGAATTTACGTTTTTTCAAACTTTCGTTATAAAAACAAGCCGGCCTTCTAGGATTTGAACACGTTTGGTAGGAAGGGAACCATCCATATTTTCCTCCTGTTTACCTATTTGCCTCATCAAGGACTCTTCGTAAAAATTTTAAGTATCTTCCAAAAAAAAAAATTCTCACTAACAAAAAATTTCAAAAGAAATTGCGTAAGAGAAGGTGGCTTTATATGCTTTTTCAAAGTTTCTTTAAAAATATTGGTCGGCCTTCTGGAGTTCGAAAATGTTTGTCAGGAAGGGAAGTATCTATTTTCCTCCTATTTACCTGTTTACCTCATCAAGGACTCCTACTAAACATTTTAAGTATCTTTCCTAAAAAGTTCTCACCAACAAAAAATTTCAAAAGAAATTGCGTAAGAGAAGCTGACTTAATATGTTTTCTCAAAGTTTCTTTAAAAATACTGGTCGGCCCTCTGGAGTTTGAACATGTTTGTGAGGAAGGGAACTATCCATATTTTCCTCCTGTTTACCTGTTTGCCTCATCAAGGACTCTTCGTAAAAGTTTTAAGTATCTTTCAAAAAAAAATTCTCACCAACAAAAAATTTCAAAAGAAATTGCGTAAGAGAAGCTGACTTTATATGTTTTCTCAAAGTTTCTTCAAAAATACTGGTCGGCCCTCTGAAGTTTGAACATCTTCGTAAAAGTTTTAAGTATCTTTCAAAAAAAAATTCTCACCAACAAAAAATTTCAAAAGAAATTGCGTAAGAGAAGCTGACTTTATATGTTTTCTCAAAGTTTCTTCAAAAATACTGGTCGGCCTTCTGGAGTTTGAACATGTTCGTTACGAAGGGAACCATCTATTTTCCATGAGCCCCGAGGCGCTATAATAAGCATTCGGCCGTATTATATCCCAGTACTCATCTGAAATCGGATACGTCCCCATAAAGAAACGGGTGGCTCATTCACGAAGACGGCTTTGTTTCGCAACATGGCAGTGGTGGTCAGCCAATGACTCCACGGACCATCCGCCCCTCACAGCATGTCCGGACGTCAAGTGGCGACTTCGGCCAGGGTCCGCTCCGTTTCTTTACAGTCCGTGCTCCCTGCAAGCTCCCCTCCCTCCTCCCCCGGCCTCCCCAAGCTTCTCGATCAAGAGACCGCGTTCCAGTTCACCTCCCCGGCTTATCTAATTCCAATTAATATACAGTATAGTCTTTGTACAGTTCATTACCATCATTAGTTATCACGACTGCCTTGGCTCGCCGGGAAATTCCTCGGCCGAGCTCGAACCCGTGATCGATTTTCGATATCTCCCCATTTTCATCTATGGTAAAGAATCGATTATCAAGGTGTTCGTTGCGAATACCCTGTTTATCGATTCTTTTTCATGGGTTTAAATGGCGGATCGATCGATATATCGCAAAGCGCGCAGGCTCCCGCCTGCGAGCCATTAATGAGAGCGCGATAAGGACAAGTTGATATATTTTTCTAATACGTTATACAAATTGCCCACTTATCGCAGATGTTTCCCGGCCCGAGTGCACTTGCTCCGTTAATTGCACTTCCTAATTTTCCCGCCCGGGCGCTCGGTGCAACGCGAGTCAAAGGTCATACTGCATCGGAGTCGTTTTTATTACTGCGTGTATCGTATCTTGCTGGCTGCGTTCATCAAAACTAAATTAGGTGCTCAGATCTACTCATGCGAATGGAATTATGATACGGAGTTTGGATTTGGAGATTGCACATCCGAGGGGAATAATAAAACCTAAAAGGAAATGATAAAATCTTCAAGGTGATGGTGAATATTTGTACTGGTGTTACGGACACAGAATGAACGTTATTATGTTCACACGGGAGAAAAATCCAAGTAGAGGTTGCTGCATTTGTAAAAATGTTAGTTGTCACACTAGATCCTTAAAATTTAGTAACCAATACTAGATGTTTATCAGTTTGAATCATGCGTTACGCACGTTACGTATAACAGCCACTTGATACGAACTGTTAGAACTCTAATACTGGGTAATAGATTTCTTGAGGACTAGGTACATATAATCAGGAATCTAGTAACCATGAACATTATTTTTTTCCCACTTAAACCGTCTAGCTACAAAATGTTTCCCAGGATAAATAGTTGCCTGGGCCAAGCCTTCCTTTTCACTGGCGTCTGATGAATTTCTTGAATTTTCTCCGATTCTCGGCGGGAAACTTGAAGTTCGCATGTTGCCGTGTTGTTTTAAATTTTTTCTATATAGCAATTGACTTTCAGCCAGTAGATTAGTAAGGGATCATTTCTAATGTACTTGTTTTTTTCTGTTGCAGAAAATTGTGACCAAGTGAATGGACATTTGTGCCAAAACGGTGCATGTCTAGATTCTCAGTGCCATTGTAACGATGGATTTGGTGGTTGTGACTGCCAAGTGCCAGGTAAACATTTCTTCTACTACAAATTTTAGTTTTGTAAAATCCAAAATTTCCCTCCCGTCTCAATATTTAAGCATCAAACAACGATCTTACTTGCAATTAAAATGCCTTATTTTTTTACATTGTTCGAGGCCGTAAAAGAGGAAACCAATAAAATTTTAATTTATGAATAATGTTCTTCATCTGTGTCCTCATTTATTTTTAGCTCTGAAGTCACAACATTCAAAACAAATTGAAATATTTTTTTGAACGCATTAAAAAGTACTGTACAATTATTTGAATATTGAAAATAATTGTTGGATAACAACGAACGATATATCTCTATTTTACAGTGCCTCCTGTAAAATAGTACAGCTTAAACATTGTATGAATACTTTTATCAGTGATATTAAACGATGACTAAGTGGCCAATAGCCCTCTCAATTCTACTCAAATACAGCACCCACTCTTTACTTGTCGTTGCGCCTTACCAGCATTGTCGCGCTGCACTAAGGTCCAAAACTCACGAATAGGAAGAAATAAATCGGATGACTGAAAGATCACGAAAGTTTTGTAACAAATGTTTTTTGAGTCGCTAATTTCGAATTTGATGTTAAATTGCCTACATATTAACACTTTAACCAATAAATTGTGGGCAAGTTTATGGCACGCTGCGGCGCGGCGTGGTACCAGCTCGAAACGCGCACTGACGCCTACAAACCTAAGTGGATACTTCAAGCATTGCGCAATGCGTGAAGTAGCCCTTTAGGTTTGTAGGCGTCAGTGCGCGTTTTGCGCTGGCAGCACGCCGCGCGCGGCCCTCCCGGCGCGCTGCGTCCCGTCCATTAGTAATACTACTGAGTGCGAGAAATTTCAAAACGCCTTCATACTTTTGTATATGCATCACGCGCATCCCGTGAGCAGTAATAGTTGTATCCATGGAATGCCATTGAAGTCACGTTGAGATTGAGACAGTGAGACACGAGCAAGATAAAAACGACTGAGTGCAGAAAAGAAAGGAAGCAAACAAGACAACCTTTGTGCAGGAATAGTCGCATCAAGGCGTTCATCAGCAGCTTCGAACCATTCTCGTCAGCCTAAGAACTAAAATTTGAAGTAGCCAATATTTCCAGTTCTAGGGAGGAAACTTACACATCAGATTTTAGTATTATGGTACAAAATTGTATCCATTATTTTGGCCCTCAAATTTTTCAAGGAGACTTACTTTAATTTTAATAAACTGCAGGAGCCTTAATTGCTCTTTTCCGACAAGGAACGCAAAATTTTCTGCAGAAAACATTACCTCTGTTGAATTTTAATGACGTTGTTCCTTCCTCTTGAATGCAAAGAGAACAAAATCAGTTCAGAGGAAATAACTAACTTCGCATTGATGCTTTTGGAGGGCAAGCAGCCCCCAGGCTGGGGCAGGGCCCCAGGGGGGTGGAGCACACCCCTCGTTTGCTAAAAATACCTAGTTCATTTCACCGTTGTGAACCAAGACGAAGACGAAATGTGTTGAGCAGTTTAGCGTTGACCCAATGGACGTATTTCCGCCAAACAGAACTATGTGCGTTAAGACATGAGCCCTAAGACTCATAAGAATACATGCGTAACAGGGCTCACGTCATAATGCACATACTTCCGTTTGGCAGAAAGACGTCCGAATGGCGAGGATGCGAGGGAACAAAATGATAGGGTACGCGGCAAATGCCGAGCGCATTAGGATAACTGCATTTGAGAGGTAACTGGACTGAGTTAAGCAGAAAGGAACCAACCCACATTTTGGAAAAAATTGAGTTATGAGTGGTTTTGAACTCAACCAGTGCTCTACTATCTATCGCCAAAAAATCAAAGTTTTTGTTGGAGCAAATTTTGCAGAAATTGAACTTGAAGTTTATCTTTTACATTGAGTCTTATGCAGGAGCTAAACTTTAAGCCTCTTTTTCTCGGTTCGATCCCGATGTGGCTTGGTTCCTTTCTGTTTAACTCCGTCCAACTGTACTCGAGCAGTAATCTCTGAACTTCGGCAGTCACAGTCACTAACTTCCGAGCCCCTCCCCCACTCGGGTCCGATGGTCGCGGCGCGGCACGGCGCTATAAGACATTAAAATAAAATCTTATCAGTACCAAACGCATTTCGCGTCCGCGGTGCATCTTGCATCATCTTCGTTCCAGCCCGCGGGTTCGCTTGCTCACAGCCGTGAACCCCACTCAAAATTTAACGGTTTTAAAGAACCATGTTATGTGTTCATATTCAAACGGTGCTTTACACACCCTCGGCGTTCAAAATTCACGAAGAACTTTGTTTAAATTTTAAAAATTCGGCAATGGACTTAGTATGCTATGAAACTCACAGAGACAGTAAAACCATGAGTCAAATTTCGAAATTTCTATTAGCATTCTCTGATAATTGTTGTGGGCTGCATACGCATGCCCCTGAAACATTGTTTTTTCATGGAAAATGAAAATTCATGGGTTAGCACTCCGCGAAATTTCATTTTCCATCTCTTATGTTGACCGTACTGCTGTGCTCAGGAAAAGCGCCATATGAGCCCTCAGACTTCGCCAAATTTTCCTCGATGAACGAAGGATTTTCTGGGGAAACATGTAAATATTTTCCTTACCTTTTTTGGATATTTTTACTCGCATTTTATCTAAAATACCTGAAAATTTCAAAAAAAAGTATTCATAACTATAACTACCCTCAAAAATTTACAAGTAATCGTGGAAGACTTGGCAACATTCGAATGTTTATAAGACGTTTTTTCTTAGCACGGCAGTATCAGAATTTTTTTATTTTTTTTTTTTTTATTTTTATTTTTTTTTTTAAATAGATTTTATTTCTCTCTGCTAATCTGCATGATCCAACATTCAACATGTAGGATTTAACAAATGCAACCGACCCAGGACATTTTACAACTACTTTAAGAGAAATTAACCGAGGAAAGATCAGTGAGACCAAAACTTAAGCGCTTACGTCAAGGAAATTTTGGCCACAGGCTGCATCCACGATTCCAACGGGCAAATCGATTTTTATGGCCCTTTTTCGTATGTTGAACAGGAGAGGGCCTCTTCCCTCGAAAACGTGAATTCGCCAAGCGCCTCGGAGTTTACAAGCACTATTTCTAACCACCCGAATAAATCTGTTCGGCGGGTCGCGGATCGAGGTGGACGCAGCCACGCGCATGCAACGTGTGCTGGAGCGCATGCGCGCCTGGACTCATGACACCGTGTAATGAGTCATTCAATCGGGCAGTTAATTGACTTTACACGGTCATCGCCCATGCTAATATATTCTTTGAGCGGGCTCGAAACAATATTACGGCAGGTGCAATAAACGGCCGGCAAGTGTTTTACCAGAGGCCAGCGGAGATCGTGATGCCTTTCGGTTTGGGTGGGGATGATCGATTTTGCAAAGGAATGCGCGTTCGTGTATTCGGCCGTATTGGGAATGCATACCGTTATCAATGGGGCATCATTTGTTGATAGTAGCTTTTTGGAATGAGGGTGGACGTCCTCGTTGATTCGTTTAATGTGTGCCTCTCTGTCGTGAGCAATTAATTGAATCAATTACACACATTGAACATTTACTCTCGAGTGCACTAATCACGGAGCGCATTTTGATACTGAAGTTGAAATGAAATTTTTCTATTCAAATTTCTGTTTGAAAATTTGGGAATTTTAGAAGATTTCGATAAGAAAGAAAGTAGTAGTAGTAAAATAATTTTATTTTAAAGCGGTGCTTTAGCATCTAAGGCCATTTACACCTCTAAAGAGGGCAGTAACAGTAATAAATTTACATGAAAATATCAGTAAAAATACAAAAGGGTAACATAGCCTATTTCGAAAGAAAGATATCCATGGTAACCATCATAGGTGATGAAGAAGGTCATTTTGTAGTTCTGGAAGGACCCTTGAGAAATGAGCAGAAAAATCAAATTCTAGTTTCTGCTTGATATAAGCTATGTTCTTCTTAAAATCAGCATTTTTCCTCTCCATCGGAGAGAAAATCTTCTCGGCAGAAAATTCAAGAAATTTTTTGCTTTTATCCAGTCTTTTTTTTACCTGTGTAGTCCTTTGCAGTTTAGTGCATATCACTGCACGCATTTTCCAGTAAGATGTTAAAGAATTCCAGTGAACTGGAGGTTGATCACAGGCAAAGCACAGTTGACACCAGTTGCTTTTGAACAAATCAGAATCAGTAAAAGTCATTTAGACTGACCTCAATCAATATTAAATGATAATAACCACACCTCGGTGTTAGTTACCTGATTTTCCCGACGAGGGATTGACTCTCAAATGAAGTTTGGGAACATGAAATGGACTGCACTAAGCAGAAAGGAACCAAGCCACACCAGCTTTTGCCATTTAAGTTGGCTTTTGAATTAGTTTGGCATGAAAACAGCTTTAGGGATTTTTTTTTTTGCAAATTTCCATGAACTTTCTGCTTAATACGAAGCAAATTCCTTAGAATTTTCAAAAGATATTGCCAGAACGTTTTCTTGTAAAAAATTAGATTTCCCAGTTAAATTTGCCAGTAGCTGATCGACGGTGAAACTACCAAACCACGTATCTCGGTTTGCGGCGTCGCAAACTTCCTGTCCTACTTTATTTTTTAGAGAGGAAACTTCTCAATGTTGATTCTTGAAAACTTCTGTAATTTTTCCTCTCAGTGCGAAGAAAATTCTGTGAAAATTTCAAGTAATAATATTGAATCGTTTTTCTTAAAAAAAATAAAATGAGAGCGGAGATTTTTAAACCCCGCAAACGAGATACGTGGTCTGGTAGTTTCACCGTCGTGATGTGGCTTGGTTCTTTTCTGCTAAACGCGGTCTAAGTAATAATGACCACGGATCAGAAAAATACTTCTGTACGGTTTTTCAATATGAATGATTTTTAATGTTCACGAGAGATGCATCTGAATTTAATGCCGTAGATCGTACACAACCGTATCAAGGAGTGTTGAACAAGTATCTAAGTATCAAGTATCAAGAATGCACATTAATTGCTGTATGATCCTCTATCCTCTGACCGCGCACGCGAGGGATGTAGGTCAGACATTTTAAAACGGTAGATTTGCCGCGAAGTTGAGTGAGGCGCATTTACTCAATTGAAGACAATGAAAATCGCTCGTATTTCAATTTTATCGCGATCCTCAGATGGTTACGTAATTACTGAAGGCGTTCAAGATGCTCAGATAACGCCACCAAATGAATCGGAGGAAGTAGGCTTTCTTCTTCTCGCGCTTGCGCAGACTCGCACTTCGAGGTTACGGACTCGGGCTCCAGCTGCTCGCCTTTCTGTTTTCCCGTTTTTACAAGAAAAATCTCGTTGTCAGATTGTTCAGTTTTTTTATGATTCAACGGACAATGAAAACATATTTTTTATTGAAAAAAAATTCAGGCGATTCACAGATTTCTCATATTTCTGATCTGAAATATTTCGGAGATGCCTATTTAAACCAAGGCTGTATAAGAGCACGACTTGTTCTTCACTTAGTGAATCACAGGCATGAAGCATAAAGTTTGTTTATTCACTTTATTAGCCTTTGTAACTTAACCTCTTACTTTTTTTTTTTTTTTTTTTTTTTTTTTTTTTTATTGAGAGTTTAGTGGCTTCTATTCCTTTAGAAATCTACAGCCATCTATCGGCACTATTTATTGTCCGAAGACATCAGGGAGTTTGGTAGACATCCATGCTCGGGCTTACAAATTTTCACGGATTAAGGCCGAGCGAATTCTGCTTACTGATCCACTCGTCAGTTCCATGAAAATTTGTCGCCACCACCGGGATTCGAACCCGGGACCTATTGACCTAGAGTCAGACGCGCTAACCACTAGGCCAACCTGGCCAGCAACCTCTTACTTTTCCCCGACGCGTTAAATTCTCATCGACAAAGGCAACTAGGGTCAATTTATAGACACATTATCCTATCGCAACTGGTAGCACTCTCTATACTTGGATGAAAATGTCCAAAAATTTGAACATTTTACATTTTCTTACTTATTTTCTATGATACATGAATGTCAATTAGACAAAGCTACCGATATGGTAAATGGTAGGCATTCTATCCTGTTAAGTACAACTCCACTCTTTTAACTTAAGTGAGATATTTCTAGAATTTGAAGATTTTTTATTTCCACTTTTACGGGTGATTTTAGGTGTCTTGGAAAGACAAGGGGGGTTGAATGGTGAATATTTGTGTTCATATCACTGATCTAAAGTTTATAAAACAATAAAAAATAAAGAAATCGAACGTGATTCTGATTTTCCATCTGTCTTACTTTCCTTACGCTGCGTTAAAGTCTCCTGGGTATAGACGCCTCCCAAGTGAGGCAATCTGTCTTACCTAGAATTGATCATATACATTGGAGTTGAATTGAGGAAAGACAGTGTCGTATTGCAAGAATCTCCCCTGCTTCGAAGCTCGACAACACGGTGAAAAAATTAGGCTAACTATCGGACAGGAGGATGGTCGCAGCGGCCTGCATTTAGCACATAGATAAGAGTCGCGGCACGTTCATCATTACACCTAGCAAATGTTTCCGATGAATACGCACCGATGTTCCAGAAACGTTGCCATCCTGCTTAAAAAAAGCAACAACCGTAACGTGGAGTTTATGAAATCGGATATTTTTAATCCCGTAATTGTCGCAACGCGGCGCAGCAGTCTCCGGTGCAATGGATCTTCCTCTTAACTGATGTTACATTGTGCGTGAAGTCGATTGTGGCTCCTCCGGCCGGCGCACGGTGGATCGAGTCAATTAGAGAGGTCGGACATGAAATTTTTTACTAAAAATGCAAATTTTGATGTTTATTTCGTCACATTTTAAACTTTAAGGAGTGTCTTTAGAAGGAAATTTCACGAAAAAGCCGATGGAACCACTTTTAGAACCTCAAAATAGTGTAAAAACGGAGTTATAAGCGTTTAAAGTTTCCAAATTTTGTCCGACCTCTCTTGTTGACTCGATCCATCGTGCGGCGGCGGCGCGGCGTCCGTCGGTGTTGAACAGTTCATTGTCAGAGTCACAAGCCGGTATACAGAGCGGAACATTTTAATTCCCCCCATCTGCCACTCGCATCTCTCTCTTTCTCATTTGGAAATTTAATTATTCCCGGTGTCGGGGTGTCATTGTGCGTTGTCCGAGTTTCGCGCGATCGGACCGTCCGGGAAGGAGAGCACGGTGTCGGTGTCGCCCATGGAGCGTCGGTGGCGGCCTTTCGCGTGAGAGAATGCGTTTTCCGGGGCCGTCGATCGGCTGTTCGACTGCCGGTCAGCGCCACCCGCTGGGGCGCTCCAGATCCCGAAATGACCATGTGACCCTCAAAATGATGCTACAATTAGTCCTGTCATGTGAGAGTTGAACCTGAGAAATATGTATGTGAAGGTGTTTGAGGATCATTTTCCTCAGAAGATTGGGAAAATCTCATTGACTCTAGGATTCAACAACATTTCCTTGAAATTTGACCCTTAACCCGGCTGCTATCGCAACCAAAAATTTATCAAGAGGTATCAAAAAGATTGCAATTTACCTGATAACTGCTTGTAAAAAATTTAGGACGAAATTCATGGGGCGCCAAATTTTATATTTGGAACAGTATTTCATATTTTTTGAAAGTCAGAAGTATGTAGAAGTTAGAGCTTCCAACTAAATTCAGCACCTAACTGAATTTGGCATCAAATCGAGAAAATCATAGAGTTGCGCTGTCTTTGTTTTGTGAGGCATTTTTATTCACAAGGAACTTTGAAAGACTGAACGCTCAGAGAATTCAATTTCACATAAAAAACAACATATTATTTTGCAAAATTTTTTTCGAATGTATTGTATCTTGGTTGACTGTCACGTTGATTGACTAGTCAAACCATTGTCACCAGTCGAAAACGCCTTCAGTCTCGCGCGATACTTCACCGTTCACACCAGAGTTAAAATAATTGTATCATCAATTTTCATGCAGAATCCTTCGCTTTACGAACATTCATGCAGCATATTCTGCCGTGATAGCGAAGAGAGCAGTAAGTGCATCTCTGTAGGAGCCAGGGTTAGCACATGCTTTTATGTGTCTCGAAGTTCATCCCAGCATGCTCTCACTGCTCTCTTCGCTATCACGGCAGTATTGTCTCGCATTTAATCGAAAAAATCTGCATGGAAATACTTAGCATTACCCATGTTGATCCAAGAAAGTTCTAATTGATTAAATTAAAACTCAATGTCAATAATAAATCCAAAATTAACTAATTCTTACTTTTTGATTTCAGACGAAAACGAATGTAAATATAGGCCATGCGACGTCTTCGCCCATTGTACCAACACACTCGGCAGTTTTCACTGCTCGTGCTTTCCCGGCTACACCGGAAACGGATTTTACTGCCAAGGTAAGATATCCTCTTTCTCCACTTCTTCTTCTTTTTCTTCTTCTTCTTCCCCGTCACATTTTTTCACGAATTCTCTCGAAATCCCAGTTTTTATGTGAAGCCCGAAATATTCGCGGAGGAAAAGGGGTGCCAGGATATTGCGATTTTCTTATTACGCAAGTGAATGGCGGATGGCGAATGGCGAATGGCGGTCCTAATAGTTACTGCCGAAATAAATCCATGCGCACAATTAGACCCGCGGAAGGTAACCCGATAACAAAGGCGGCGAGGAGTTCCTGATGAAGCGCTCGACTCACGCGTTTAAGGGCGTAGTAATTCAATCGTTTACGTTTACGGCCAATTAATTCTAATTAGCAGGATCCTCGGAGCCCGAGTTCACTCACCTCGGCGTCGTTTGTTTAGGAAAGCTCTCACGCTGTTTTACTATCGGGTCAGTTTCGTACACGACGGAACGGTACCTTTTTCTTCATCTATGAGACGTAAAATCCTTTGAAAAAGCGGAAGGCAGATTGCAAGAAAGCTATTGGGAAGCACCAGTGGGTACGCCAAAGGGGGCAGGATCCTCTGAGTTTTGCGCAGTGGAATGGTCCACCGCGCGGCCTAACCCTGCAGCTACCGCTTCACCACCCTCAAAAAACCACGTTCTGAATCACATTTTAGCACTTTGAAGGATGAGGGCTCTTTTAGAGGTCATCCATTATCTGGTTACCGTCGCAAAAATTTTAAAAATTAGCCCAGCAGATCTACAAAACGAACAATGACAAGTAATAAGAAAAGTACTTATGGTTCAAACGGATAAATTCACAGTTTTATTGCAAAATCTTGAGAAACCTGGGTCATATTTCTAAAATGTGAAAAAAGCGAGAGACTTTTATCTATGCGTAGCCTCAAAAATCATAGAATTCAGCCTCGAGGATCCTGAGAACGAACTTTGACGAATCTCATTTGCATTATTAGCTTATTTTAGGGGCTTGGAGTACAAGGCGCATGAGTCCAGTTTTTGCTACGCCGAGAAATACGTGTTTGAAGTTTCGGAATTACATGTATTCTTATGATGGAAAGAAAGGTCAAACTGACTTTTTGATGCTTTAAAATCGGAATTTGGGAGCGAATTTTTAATAGAAAATGCATTAAGACTAGTTTCACTTGAAATCATGAATATTTCAATTTTGTCCAAAAACTGCACTTATGCGCCTTGTCTTCCAAGCCCCTCTTTTGCAGGATTAGCTTACCTACATGATGACGCACGAAAAAAAAGGTTCATAAAACATCGAATAATATCATATATCAAGTCATTTACACCTTTCGAAGAGAATCTCTCAAAAGTGGCTTCCTGTCGAAGTAAATGGCTGGTTTCTGTAGAAAAAATAAAGTCGGTGCGGGATTTTTCGAACTCTGAGATTCATTACGTGTTTTTCTCTTTCAATTTCACCGTTATTAAGCTTACAACAATTTTTACTGTCATGCTTACGCCGTTAAAAATGATCAAAGAGATTCTCAAGAGCCGAGTATAGTCAAACACGGAATATTATAATTATACACCCATATTAAAATATGTAAAGGTCCATTCAACAGGGAACTTAGTGAGGCCTAGACATGCTCGTCTGCAGAAAACGTACTTCCTCATTGCTGTTAAACAACTTAATGGACGAGTCTATGACGGATCGATAAAATTATTTCCCTAAGATGAGACAGATCTTGCGCATCGAAATTTTCCCTCGTCGGTGTTATAATCCCGCGTAGAATCCCTAATTACCGATGCAGATGCCCTCAAGCAGCCGTCGTCATGTTCCGAATGTTCCCGACAGATCGTTAACACGCGGATAATTTGCGGTTGGCATTTTGACCCGCTAAAAAATTCCTCCTTCACCCTGCTCCAGCAACGTCGCACAATGGATCGAGTCAGTCAGAAATGCAAATTTTGATGTTTATTTCGTCAAATTTTAATTTTCAAGGGGCTCATATAGACGAAAATTTTACGAGGAAGCCACTTTTAGAAAATTAAAGTTTCGTATGAATGGAGTTATAAGAACAATAAAAACACACTAAAATACAAAAAACAAATGGGTATACAAGGCTACAGGAGACATAAAACAACCATGACGTTTCGGGCCAATTACATGCCCATTCTCAACTGAAACAGAAGCTAAAAAATGTAAAAATTACATATAAAACGAGAAAATGAGCATGCAACTGACCGAGGTAGGAATCAGTGCAAACTGAAAAACAGAGCAAATATGGACAGAAGGGCACTATCACCACCTTGATAATAGGCCAACCTCCGTAACCTCCGTTGGAGTTATAAGCGTTTAAAATTTCAAAATTTTGTCCGACCTCTCTCACTGACTCGATCCACCGTGCGTCGGGGCTTTTTCTCCCCCGTTTTCCTCGGATCCGAGCAACGGTCCCGAGTAACCGGGTGCGGTGAGGCCCGCTAATTAAAGTGAATAAAAAATGATGTAACTTTTTTTGCGCCTCGATGCGTCGGACAAGTGCGCAAGTCGTCGCTCCCCAGACGTAAGGACGTATCTCAATCTCCGCGTGAGCCCTGATCTCCGTATAACTCGGTGTTCTCTAGGGCTCATGTGAAACGGAGATACGCCCCTCGGAGGAGTGACGAAGTGTGAGCGGGAGATTCCGGAAGATTGTGACGCGGCGAGCGTCAACTTAACTGTTCTGTTATAAGGGTGTCGTTTTATGGAGCGTCGGTTTTATGTGTGTGCGGCCAAGTCCCATGAACGGGAGCCTTAGCCCGGTGGTTGGACGTAGGTCGCTGTTGAAGAGCCGAGCTTACGGCTCGTTGCCAAATAGACTGCATAAATCACTGAAAATTGTGAATAATCTACGTATAACACTGCCGTGCTATGGAAAAACACCTTGTGAGCCTTTAGACGCTGCCAGATTTCCTGCACTAAAAACTAAAGTTACTGGTAAAATTTTGAATGTTTTTTTTCAAAATGTTCAGACAATTTTTTACGTAATTTAATCTAAAGTATCTGACATTTTCAAGGGAAAATATGCATGAATGTCGTCAAAAATACATGTTTTATCAAGGGAAATTTGACAACTCTCGAATGTTCATACGGCGTTTTTCCTTAGCACGGCAGAACAGGTGAAGGACCTCTTAAGGAGAAGTATGGATGCTACGCCCTGTTGATAACATTTCTGGCCCCATCCGAGAACTGGCCATCCCCATGGCCTATTCCGTGAACTGGCCGATGATTATGCCCGGTTCGTGAACTTGACAGCCAACTCGCAGACTAGCCGGTCTGGAAGTCTGAAAATTACGCCATCGTTAATTTTAGTTGACCCACGAAGCAACGAATGTCCCTCACTGACCGGTTTTTGGCGAATATTTCTCGAGATTTTTACCGAAACTTTAAAGTATCAAAATAAATCATTTTATCGAGGGAGAAATGAATGCAACTAACTGAAAAAGGATAAAGCTCGACGAAAATATCCATCAAATATTGTTCAGAAATTATAAGTTGGAAAGTAAACAATCAATGAAAGCCGAAAATTCGTTTACCAATCAGATCGATATATCGCAAAGCATGCCACGCCACCTATCGCAGTATAGTACGGCTAATCCATGCCAGTTTTTTCTAAAAGCACGACTCCACAACGCCGAGCGTAGTGCGCCCGTAGCGCGGCGCGGCCGCAGGGCGCGGGTCAATGATTCAGCGGGCCCCGTTACGTTACGTTACCTGCTCATACGGTCGTACGGATTTCGAACCGCGGACCTGCGAAATTAATTTCGTTGCCTTTTGTTTCACGCTCGGAGAAAACCGTTCAATCGTACGGTGCACCGCCGGACGCGCATGCATGCCGCTCATGGCTCATGTGCGCAGCGATTTATGAAAATATGACCGAGGAAAAATTAATGAGAGCGAGGAGCATTTGATGCGACAGGAGAAAGAAATTAACGGCGCTGTCTTGTTCTGCGCTGTCATCAACACTTCATGACAAGGAGTCTAACGCCCCCGCATGGTTGCTTCGTCTCGTGAGCAAATTAGTACCGTACCTTTAGATTAATGTACTTTTATCGTCAATTCACGTATGGAATGAGCGGAAGAGTCCCCAAATGAAGTAACAGTAACTCCCCGGCTGATTCTGCACTGGAAAAAAAACCGCTTGGATCTAGAGTCCAGACTCTTAAAATCATCGACAAGAAAAATACTCTTGATTCAATCGGATTTTTGCTTAAATCAAGAGCCAAGCCTCTTAATTTGAGCGGATTTCCTTTTGATTTAAGCAAAAATCCGATTGAATCAAGAGTATTTTTTCTTGTCAATGTTTTCAAGAGTCTGGACTCTAGATCCAAGCGACTTTTTTTTTCCAGTGTGATGATGTCAGATTTTGCAAACGGCGTGGTCGCCAAAACCCAGCTCAACATTCAAGATGCAGACGGTTCTCCCATCTCCCACTTTACCTACAACATTCCAGGGTCCTTGAGCTGTAAATTGCGCATGTGCAAATATTTGTCAAAATGCGAAAATTTTTAAAAGGATGGAATAATTTCTCACAGCATGAGACCCTCAAGGCCAATGACCCTCAGTATCATACACGTTCAGTTCAATGTGGTTCCAAATCTAATATTTTATTTAAAAAGATGAACTGTCTGTAGACCTCCCCACCTCCACTCATTCACCTTCCTTTCCTCTATATTTTTCTCTTCATACCCGGCTACTGCCTTTTTCCTCGTGTTCTTTCGGTATTCTACTTTTCAATTCCTTTAATTTTTTTCTCACTCGTTCAGTTGAGCTCTAAATTGCGCACTTACAAATTTTTGTCAAAATGCGAACATTTTAAATAGAACTTCACGAATTTTTTCACAACAAGTCTGGTCAACCTCAAGGCTAATGAACCTCACACGTTTACTTCAATACCGTTCCAAAGCTAATATTGTATGTAAAAAGATAAACTACCTGGTGGCCTCCCCTCCTTTCCTCTCATTTTTCTTTTTCCTCTTTTTTCTACACGTTTCTCATTATACCACT